ACACATTTGTCTCATGTGACCTTTCACTATCATTGATGTGCACCTCTAGGCTGGGGGACGAAATGGGATTTGGTTGGCGTCTTTTTCTCTTTCCTTTCATGCCTCAGTGTGTCTGCATGTGTGTTTTTGGGTCATTTGTTTTCTCTGAGTCATTCCCTTTGAATATGCGCGAGCTATTAACCTGAGCGCCAGCTGTCTGATTAATTGCCCAGCTCTGGTCAGGTGGACAGGACTCAACATTCATATCTCTCTGGGCTCGCAGAACTGCTGAGCATGAACTCTGCCAAATATTTTACAGCCAGTTTGAACTATTCATTGCAAAGTGCCTGATGTCTTGACTGAGGACATTTTGACCAGACAGACATCCAGCGTCGGTATCAGATTATTTTAGTTTAGAATATTTATTTATTTAATAATTAATATATATATATACTGTATGTGTGTGTGCGTGTGTAATATATATATGTAAATTAATATACATATAATTTTATTATATATAATTTATTTATTATTTATATCAATTTAATACATTATTATTACTATTATGCAAACAACGTTGAACCCCACTGACTTAATTAAATGGACAAAAAAACACAGAGACTTAAAGAAAGTAAAAGTCCTATAGGTTTGAAATGTTGACTAAATGTTCATTTTTTTGGGTGACCTGTCCCTTTAAGAATTATAGCCAAATTTTATAAAGCCTATTTAATATTTTTGTCTAATGCCTTTTCTTTATGTCATAATTACACATACCTGAATGTTCATCTCAGGAGTATAGAGCATGTCTATTAGCACAAACTGCAGGGAATTACATGCTTGTTATAGTAAAACCTTATGTGAACGTCTGATGTAATGGTTCAGAATTGCGGTGGGACAGACAAAAAGGAAAGGGAGGTGTACGCATGGGGTCATAGAGCCCTGATGAGGAGCTAAAGAGGGCATCCTGACCCTGAACAGAGATGGGGTTCCTCCATAGATGCCTCCCTAACCTACTTCATTCATTTGTTGTGAGAGTAATTTGCCCTTATTGAAGGTGAGCTTTCATCTGTTAGAAAGGATTTGATACCTAACACCTGGTGCAGTGTGCATTTTAGGCTTGTTCCCCAAGACATGTATTTCCCAATCAGTGTATTCGGTCACTAGCATATTTTAAGGAAACAAAGAAGTCACTATAGGAGGCAGAAAAGGCAACAAGCCAATAATTCAACCTCGAAGCCCATGCGATTGGACAGGTCTTAACAAATCAAAGCAGTTGATTCACTGGCCCTACACACACCTCTTGTACTTGTACTTGTAAGAATAAACACAACAAGGAGACTTTCATGTTTTGGGCACCATTCAGGAAAAGTGTACACATACCCACACTTACTCTCTAGTGTGTGTTGACTGAGCCAACAGTGTGTCAGTCAGTCGGTCAAGGCCCAAGACAGAGAGCCACAGCCAATCACAGGCCCTGTTTGTGTAGCGGGAGGACAACCTGCCATCAGAATTGCACTCTATTGAGCTTCGTCCTCATGTCATTTTCGGCTGTGTTGTTTCCACATCTATTTTAGACACTTTTCAAAAGTCAGATTCAACATGAACTATTTAGATACGTTTTATAGCTTTTCCCTATTATTGTATTGTCTCATGTCTGTTTTTAGGAGAAACATTAGATTCAAAATTGACCCTTAAATGAAACGAACTCCCAAGTTTCTCTGAGACAGATCAAAGCTTCATTTGCTTTCAGTGGAAACTCTGTGATCCAATCAGATCCTCTAGGCTCTTAATCAGCGTCACTCATGCTTCATTCAACGCTTCACAGTGAGAGCATCTGTCAACTCTTCCCAGGTATTAAATCAGCTTCTCATATCAGAATGTTTGCACACCGCAAGTGTTTTACATTAAATTGACAATCTTTGGTTTTCAAATATAACATGAAGGGATCTCTTCCTGTGCGTCTAATAAGCCATGTTTAAATGATATATACTTGAAGATAAAAATTAATCATTTTAATAGCAGTTTATTATTTTTGTTTTAATTATTACTTTTATTCACCAAGGAGGCATCAAATTGATCAAATGTAACAGTAGGCATTAATAAAGCTACAAAAAAAAATATATTTCAAATAAATGCTTTTTTTTTTGCACGTTCTATTCATCAAAGAATCCTGAAAAAAATAATGTCATCCGGTTTCCACAAAAATATTAAGTAAATTATTAAATAAATATTAAGCAGCACAACTGTTTTAAACATTATTATTATGAGAAATGTTTCTTGAGCAGCAAATCAGAATCATGTGACACTGAAGACTGAATTTTAAATTGTAATATTTCACAATATTACAGTTTTACTGATCAAGTAAATGCAGCCTTGGTAAGCAGAAGAGACTTTCAAAAACATTTTTAAAAAATCCAAACTTTTGAACAGTAGTGGACCTAATATTTTATAGAATATATTTTTTTCAACTATTTTATAATAATATAAAATAATTGTTATGATGTGATTCATATAAATATACATTTTAAACAAATTAATTCAGGTTAACTGTTTCACTTTGGACACTAATATTACTGTGAAAATGGCCAAATTTACCGCCATTTACAATTCCAGCAAGTTGTATGTTTTAAAAGAAAAACAGGCTCTTCAGTAGAGTGGAACGGTCGGAGGGTGCATGCTGGGGGTAAGGTCCAGGTTACTGTGTGGAACGAGACATGATCAGCGGCTGCTGAATCTCTCACACACACACTTCGCTGCCCTTTTCGCCCCAAAAGTTTCCAAGCGTTCCGCTCTGTGCCCCGGACTGTGATGGAGGGAGGTTGAGGGAGGAGGAGGGGGTCACAGATCCAAATGGCTGCCAAGCACAGTTTGGGTCAACCTGCTATGCTCATAGTTAACCTAAAACCTCTTGCTTCATCCCATTCACACTGAAACCACCATGAACTGACTTAAACCGGATTAAACTTGCTTTTGAAATTGGCCCATTTTTAGAAATCTTTTTTTTTTTAAACACGAAAATCATGGAAGTTACCAGCATGTATACCGAGAATAGAAAAGAAAATGACTCTGTCTGTTCCATCTGTTGCTATTCTTTTACCACATAGTTTTCATTTACAAATATCAAATCTATATTCAAATATCAGTAACAGTATATACAAATATTCCTACTTCGTAGGAATTGTTAGGAGTAGAAATGAATTGAAAACTTTACTCTTTCTTCAAACTTTCAGAATTACTCAGAAACATTGGATGTCTTTAAAATCCTGTGTTCCTGTGATCACGAAAGTCAGTTATGGAGCTCAGGCACCTGGCAGCATGTCTGGCCGTAAATGATATTTGCATGCGCCGTTACTGCCCTTCCAACTGTTCCACAAACCTTCAAACCTTCAAACTGCCCCTGCTGGTGCATGTATGAATAGCAGTTATGTCCTCTTTTATGTTTTGCTGTTATTTAGCACAAATGATGTGAATGTTTAGAGATGCATCATGGATTTTTACTCTTTTCACTCTATTGAAAATTCATTTGAATCCATTTAAGACAAAATTTAGACTATAGCTTAGCTGTTTAAGGTGGTCTCACAGGTAAAACTGACCAGACTGGGACACCGACTAAGACTCGTATGGTTTAAGCATCTTCTTTTTTTCAGTAGGGCAAGCACATCTGATTTTTATAGTCTTGTGGGGTGTTGATATGATCTACCTTCTCTCTATGAGATGTCTGTTTCCCGATACGCTTCACAACCTGCTTTCACAACAGAGATGAGCCATTGCTTTTTTGCTGTTTGTTATTATTTGTTGTTAATGGTTAAAAAAAGACATGAGAAAATTAGTCATCCAAGCCTATCTTCATGTGGTCTTGAAAAATGTTTTGGGAGACGAGCAAATAAATGAATAAATAAAGATTATTGCAGTCAAATCGATTAATCGCATCTAACATAAATGTTTGTTAATATGTGTGTGTGTGTGTGTGTGTGTGTGTGTGTATATATATGTATATATATATATTTTTTAATGTATATATATATATATATATACAAATCTTTGTTTGATACGTTTAATCGCAATTTATCCATTTGACAGCACTAATAAAAATAAATACACACTTATATAAAAGCTCATTAGTAAAAAATAAATAGCCAGAATTAGCTATTTAGAAAAAAAATCTGATTTTGTAATCATAATATCCATCTGTTGTTTGAAATGATCTGACTCTCTGAAAACTTCTAATTAACTCTTAAATCACAGTGATTTATGTTTTATTTCTGTTCACTTCAGCAGACAATCCCGAAAAAAAGGAGTGAAGTTTTATCAGGCGATAGAATTATCATGCACCATGGCTAAAGAATTTAATCACATTCTTCTGAGGAACTTATGGTTGTGTTTAGTAGTGTACTGCTTTGTATTATATGATGTAACTTTTAACTTAAGCTTAATCTGTGTGTTCTATCTCTATTTGCTTCTCTGGAATTTTGCATTACATCCAAAATTACATTTATCCTTAGAGATGTTAAGAAAACCTAAATTGATTTTTTTTAATAGAAATCTCCTGTTGATTGAAAACAGACTATTGCTAGTCTGATGAGCTGAGACAAAATCAAGCTAATTATTAATTTTATTCATTTTAGATAAAGTTATTATAGCTACATATTGAAACATCGTTAGTCACTCTAAATCACTTGGTGTTTGTTTTGTCAGTGTGATATCTCAGTTGTATGACCTAAGTTTATACAGCAACATTTAGCCTAAATATGTAGCCTACATATTTAATTTATTATTATTATTATTATTACGTGCTTTAACAAGAGTCGACAAAGTCCAAAGTTCTTTCGAGTTGTGCTGATAACAGGCCAGTCAGTGTAAACACGCTGTACCTGCGCGTTAGTCAGTGTGGCCCAGGACAGCTCATTTGCATAAAGGCCCTCAGCAGACGCCCACTCATTACCATATTTTATATCGCCTGCCCTCTGGAAGCATCATGGCAAGTTATATCATTCAGTCCGACAGGGAAGTGGCCTAACTTTTCGGAGCAGGTGTCTTCGGAGGAGTGAAGAGGGGAAATTTCACATTCTGCATTTCCCTCTTTACACCTCCCTGCGTAGCTACTAAACATTTAGATGTTCGCAAAAATGGTTTCAAAGTTGACGTCTTTGCAACAGGAGCTTTTGAGCGCCTTGTTGGACTCTGGAGTTACGAAAGATGTGCTTCTGCAAGCTTTGGAAGACCTGGACCCAAGCCCGAGCGCTTTTGGAGTTAAACTGGACAGTCTTCAGATGTCGCCCTCCGGTTCCAAACTCAGTGATACGGATTCAAAGCCGGTGTTTCACACGCTGACCAATGGACACAGTAAAGGGAAGTTATCAGGGGATGATGAGGGCTCGGAGGACGGGGATGATTTCGACACACCGCCGATACTGAAAGAACTGCAGTCTCAAAACACAGAGGAGGCAGCGGAGCAGAGGGCAGAAATAGATCGGATGTTGTCGTAAGTTTATCACTTGTATAATATAATCATAGGCTATAATCAAAGAGATCGAAGTGAGAAAGAGACAAGGAACTGTAGGCTACTGTAGCCTACTGCAGTTAAAGGCCGGCTGTTAGGCTACTGTGAAATTACTGTCGTTTGACAAGCTGTAATTTTGTCGTTATAGGATTGAAAACAGTTTATTTATTCGTTATAATACAAACATTTTCACAGAAAAAGTAGCTACACATTTACTAAAAATGTGCTGACATAAAAAGTTATTCTTAATTAAATCATTCCACTAAAATGGAAACGTTTAATTGTTGCCTTCTAAAATCACAGGGCGTTGATAAGGTCATACACTTTTTATAGGCTATACCACTTTTAATTAAATTTCTGATTGAAGTTCTGAAAACTGATAAAATGTAGTGTTTTATAAATTACTGCGATACGTTAAATCGACGGAAAATATGTGGTTATAATGTAGCCTAATGACCAACTTTTCTCAACCGCGTAACATTGGCTTGAAATCTGGAAACGAAATTCAGTGATGCTTTTTCAAAACAGATTTAACTAGCCTACTGGCTGCAGTGTGTTTACAAATTTAAAAGCACGCGCCAGTGTTTCCTCTTTTCACATTCTGGTTACTAATTATCTACGTGAGTTATTTCTTTAGAGATATATCAACTAAAGAAGATCTATTTATTATTAACCACCTCTGCCCTCTCGAAAGAAAATAAATACACGCGCTCTGCTGTCTGATTTCATCTCTTTTGACGTTGTCCGTAAATGTATTTTAGGCCATGTAAATAAAATGATTGATGATTATTGTTGTATTGTTATTATTATTGCTATTATAGGTCGTGTAATCATAATATTATTTCAAATACAATTGCAAAAAAACAAACAAAAAAAAACGCCTAATTGCATTTTTTTATTAGGCTATAGGCCTTTTTTATAATTCAGCATATGATATAATCAACATCGACGTCACGAAATATAGCTGAAAATCAAAACTAAAGCACGTGGAGTTGAGTTATTAATTTTATCCTATAAATCATCAACTGAAAGACACACAGTGACGAATGATTAGCGTGAAAGGAGATCTAGTTATTCATTGTCGAAAGTTATAAAGCAAGCACGGACATATATGTTGTCAGTCTCTAAATCAAACCGTCTGGACAGATTTCAAGAGCAAAGGTTTAATCTGAAATTACTATGGTAAGACTAAACTTCGTTTTAATGCATCTTAAAGCATGTCTGCCGCTTTTCGCGTTTTCTCTCCTTTCTTATTTATTTAGGTAGCCTATATTTTTTATTTAACTTAGTAATAAATATTACACAGCTTTTAATTTAGTTTTGTTTTTAAGGAAAAGCATATACATTTAATAATAGCTTATTATTATGTTGCATCAGCAAATTTACCAGCCTACGGACTGGAAAATAAGAAAATCTTTCTAGATATTTCTCTATGATTTTAGGCTATAGGATAGGCCTATTGCACGTAAAGTTCTCGTTGGTAAGCTCTTCAAATTCACCAGATAAATTTAAATGCTCTCTGAATGTGAACATTAGGCTAATAAATTTATTTTGAAATATGAATAGAGTTCTTTGGATTTATTTGCATCCAACAACTTTTCTGTTGATGAATAAAAAATATTGTTATTATCTTGAAGCTAATTCCATAATGCTATAGGCTATTTATTTATTAAGCCATGTCAAATTCGTTTAGTTTCTCTAATGCTATTGAGTTTTTAGCAATTTTCGTCTCACGCAAAATGTTCTCCTTCTCTCTAAAATATAGAGTATTTTTTAAAACCATGTTTAATTATACTTTAGGGCCGTCTAAGTATTATTGTTTTTGAGATGGCTTTACAATGTTCTCGGTGAACAATATAGCTGTCGTGAAGTCCTTCAGTTGTCTCTAACTTGTCCTTTTGTAATTAAATCACAGTAGTTGGATTGCGTGCAATGAAGTCTTTAACCTTTGGAATTATTTACAACCTATTGAAATACACTGATTAACGATTGGTTATTAGCGCTGGGAACAATTGACCGCACTTACAAAACAAATAACATGTTAAACAGATTAATAAATTCACTATCATAAATATAAAAGAATCGAAACCAACTGTTAAAAGGTGACTTAAACTAATGATATAAAATGAGTTTGTTGTAGTTATTGTTTTATGTTTCCGGTCTCTTCAGGGAGGACCCGTGGCGCGCGGCCCGCATGATCAAAGGATACATGCAGCAGCACAATATCCCTCAGCGCGAGGTCGTGGATGTGACAGGACTCAATCAGTCGCACCTGTCACAGCACCTGAATAAAGGCACGCCTATGAAAACGCAGAAACGCGCTGCGCTCTACACCTGGTATGTCAGGAAACAGCGGGAGATCTTGCGACGTAAGTTAATATTTGTATTTCTTGCTGCAATGTGAGAGTTTACTACAGTGCTACAGTGAGACTATAGGCCTAGTAATATAAAACTGCCTGAATCAACTGCATGAAATTAAATAGTAGCCTATAAAGCACCACTTTCCACCGGAATCTATGCATTAATTATGAGGATTATGCAAAATCTATTCATTCTTTTTCATAAAAATCTTTTTCATTCTTATTTTTTTTCTTATGTAATTTTAGAGAGATACAGATTCAGTAAGGGCAGAAAGAGATTATTAGTGATGCACTTAAAAATAAAGGTTCCAAATGGGTGTTTTAGCATTAATGCCATAGAAGAACCGTTTTCGGTTCCCCTAAGAACTTTCCAATCAACAGTTCTAAAAAGAACTAAAATAGTGTGAAGAACATTCTAAAAATTTCCAATATAAAGAACCTTTTGTGGAATCTAAAGGTTCTTCATGGAACCAAATATGCCAACAAAGAACCTTTATTTTTAAGAGTGTAGGCCTATTATTATAATTTTTTTATAAAAAAATGTTTTTTTTTTGGAGACTGGCTACTTATTGCATCATCATTTTGAGTTTATGTTGTCATAAAAAGCGCAATGACATATAAAAAGGACAGTCATATAGAATGATGCAAAGGTCAAAGTTTATCCCCCATGGTGATTCGGTGTAACATCACACCCCGAAAGCTTTAAAATGACTGCATGTTTCTTGCAAAATATCCATTTCTTTCAAGAGATGTTACTTTATTCAACTAGGATTAAAAGCATATGTTAATTTAAACTTTATGTCCTATATGAAAATTCTGAAAGTGACATCAAAATTCCTCTCTTTTACTTTTCAGAATTCAACCAGATCTCACATGGCTGTGGCAGCAACATGTCAGACAAAGGCAATCAGGATCAGGTGCTACTTTTTTTCTCAGACTTTAGTCAGTCTGCGCAGGGTATGGTGCAGCCAGGGGATGATGCTGCCGTTGAACCTGCTTGCAAGAAGCTCAGACGCAACCGGTTCAAATGGGGGCCTGCATCCCAACAGATCCTTTACCAGGCTTACGAACGGCAGAAGAACCCCAGCAAAGAGGAGAGGGAGGCACTGGTAGAGGAGTGCAATCGGTACGGAAGAACTTGCTATGAATGTCAAAACTACTTCCTCACTTTCATCCCAGTTATGCTAATATTTTTCTCTTGACTACATTCAGGGCTGAGTGCCTCCAGAGAGGAGTATCGCCATCCAAAGCTCATGGGCTTGGCTCCAACCTGGTCACAGAGGTGCGAGTCTACAACTGGTTTGCCAACAGGAGGAAGGAAGAGGCTTTTAGACAAAAATTGGCCATGGATGCCTACAGTGGGCCAACGCACAGTCTGAACTCCCTCCTTTCACATAGTTCCCCACATCACCCACGAGCCAGCAGCTCCCCACCAGGAAAGATGCAAGGTATTGACACATCCTTTGTAATCTCTCGTCTATTATTTGATATTGCTCTTAGCCTGTGAATGTGGCTTAGGGTCGGAAAATACATTTATTGATCATTGTCTCCTCTGCGGTATGGTGTGGCAACGAAGTTGAAGAAGAGATGAGGTAGTTGATGAGATCAGGGGGAAAGAAAGAGAGCAGGGCAGTGATCAATGAGTGTGACAGAGTGAGCTGAGCAAATGGCATTGTTATTCCCAGCTTTGAAACACATACCAAGAACAATCTGCATTGTACCTGCAATCTCAGCTCTACTGAAGTCAGCAGGCAAGAGTGAGGCACAAAGAGCAGCCACCCTTGGACAGGACACAGGGTCAACCCTGGGTCATGCGGCTCAACTCACTCTCGAGTCCTAGTTATACCTGTAGGGTCACTGCGGTTTACTGCAGGCCCACTCCTCTGTTATCTAATGAATTGTATTCCCAGAAGGATTTATTGACTTAGTTTGATATGGCAAGACTTCGGCAGTAAAAGCAATACACTCTTTGACTCAACCAGCTTATTACATATTGTTGCTCTTTCATGTTTGAGCGCCAAAGAGCCAGTGCTTTCGCAGTGGGTGTTTTGCTTGTTTCTACGCATGTGGCACAGCAATAAGTGGCTTGTCTGTTTGCGTGTGGTGTTTCCCTCTGCACACCTGACCAGTCAGTGACCTCAGGTTGTGTTAATTTGGATGAGAAGGGGGAGGAACGGGATGGTATCGGTCTTCTCTTCCGTGCTTTTAGTCGAGGGTCTTACAAGGTGTCCCGCCAGATCCCTGCCAGCAGAATCAGCTGTTTTTTGGTGTCAGAAGCAGGCCTGACAAGAATGGCACAGCAGGACCCCTCATCACGTTGCCAGGGCACAGCCTGTATTATGCATGCTTAATTGACAATTAAAATCCTCAGCTACTACATCTCCCAGGCCTTTGATAAGGGACTCCCTTCTTCCCTGCTCTCTTTACCCTGTCTCAGCAGGGAACCCTTTTGTTTATGGTATATTAGAAGACTGTAGTGACTGTAACCGAGGTTCATTTATCTCTGCTAGGCCAGGGGGAGGGACAACTCGGATCCCCTCTCACCTTTATGGGCTGGGGTATAGAAGCAGTAGCTGGGCTCTGAGCAGAACAGCAGGAGCTGTCCGCTGGGCTTTGGCTCTTTTCGGGCCAGACAGGACTGATGAGCCCCTTCTGCTCGAGGTATGGAGGGTGCTGGGTGATTCCCGGTCTCAGCCCCCCTCTCGGAAACTACGCAAACCCAGGTTTTGTTAAGAGGTCGTTACCAGGTCAGATCGGAGAGAGACTCTACTTTTTTTTATTGATTCAGGTTTGGCCTGTTGATAACAGACAGGCCATTTTGCCGCTGCTGGAAGGTCAACTGATATGTGTTTTTGGGGCCTGACTGTGATCTTCCCTATGTTTGTGTTGTGGTGCCGTTGGGAAAGCATACCGCTTTCAGAATTCTCTTTGATAACATTTAGGTAGAAAATGTTGGAGTGGTTGTCTAAAGCACTGAAACAGTATCTATTAATCTAAATCTTTAAATCTATTAGTAAAGAAACTTGTATTTGAGACCGTCACCTCATGACCAAGGAAACTAGAAAATTTACCCTTTTAGTAATGTTTTTTAATTTACCCCTGACATATAATAGCAAAGGAGAAGCAGAGAACATTAGAGTTCAACTATCCTTGCTTAGTCTATTGGGGGCCGCAGAAAGGCTGAAAGGCCGAGTACGTCCTGCTAAGACCCAGGAGGCCTCTCATATGCGGCAATGCTATAATGAGCACTGCCTGGGGATGAAGAGCAATGCTTTGATATTACATGCATCCCAGGGAGAGCTGAACCCTTTAAAATCTGCTGAAGTCTAATGCTACCACTCCCCTTTAGGATTTCTCACCGCCCTCTGCCTCTAACCAAAGTTTGCGGTAGCAGTTTTTGTATTGTTCAAGCTATACTAAAAGGCGACTACAAAGCGAATTGTTAAAGTTGAAAACAAAGTTGATTCGTAACAAAATCTTGTCCAGGGAGATTGATAAGCCAATATTTAGCTATTTTGAGAATATTGTATCAGCCAATAACCTTATACACTGTCTAGATATAACTACCACCAGTGGTTGCTGAAAGTGTCTGTTGCTTTTCTGAATAGCGTAATTAAGACTTGGTTTATGATACCATTCCATGTAACTTTTATGTTGTGGTCTCAGAGGTTGTATTTCGGTTCCTGGTTCCCTCAGAAACCGAGCCCTCCTGCTGGTCAGCATGGCCCAGACAGCGCAGACCGAAATGATTGAGCGTGAGAGGAGATCCCTGCAGTCCGAGTGAATGCCTGATGGAGTCAGACAATAGCCTGTTCTCTCTCTGACACTTTTAGTGGGTGCGCGGTAGTAAAGTAAAGACTGTTTATGGTTGCTGGCCCATTGTGTGCTGAGCAGGTTGTAGGTCCAATGGAGTGCTTTATTGTCCTGCACTGGTGTTTACAAGACACTGTAGAGAGCTGGCAATGCTGTAAGTGTGCAGAGGGGGGCAAAGTTGTGTCTGCAGAGTTTCCCTGCACAATGAAACACAAAAAAGGATAAATCGATTTGTTCTAAGACCTTTCTGTCATATTTTTGCTGTTCTGCTAGTCTTTTTATTAGGTGCGTCACTCTGGGAGCACTCTGGGAAAGAGGTAATCAAAAACAAAGCCTTATTTCATTCGGCTGTGTCGTCATCTTGCTTGGCTAGCCAACCTGGTATTTGAATGTAGGAGTAAAGACTTTTGGACTGAAAAATGCCTATGACATTAGTATTAATTGAGTAATGTTTACCTTGTTCATATCTGTGGAGCTTGGGGTTGGCAAACACCCATTCGATAGGAGACAGGCTGAATTCCTGTGGCCCTGAATGTTCAAGAGTACCCACACAAGATAAAAGGTCTAAACAGAGAATTAAGCTTCAGTAGAGCATTATTATCTCATAAAGCTTTATTTTACGTAGATTTCACGTAGACCTCTCTGCAGAGTTTAGCCTTGAAGTTTCTAGTAATCCCGAAGACCTTGAATAACAGGTTCGGGTGTTTAATAGGCTTTATGCACAGCTTCACTACTTCCTGAACTTTAGCCAGCTCCTTTGTTTCCTGTCTGCCATTATTGGACAAACTGATTAATCCAGGTGTGCCTGATTATTGTTACTGAGGCCAGGCACACCTGGATTAATCAGTTTGTCCAATAATGGCAGACAGGAAACAAAGGAGCTGGCTAAAGTTCAGGAAGTAGTGCAGCTGTGCATAAAGCCAATTCGAGCTGGAGCCAAACGCTGCTAGAAAGTGGCCCTCCAGGAGAAGGATTGGATACTCCTGACGTAGATTATGAAGTTCTGAAGGTCAGTGCAGCATAGTTTTCAGAGTTGCGGACAACCCACATGTACACATTCAGATGACCTTGACCGTTCAGGGACCAGGTGCGGAGGGCACTGTTTGTTTACTCTGCCCTAACTAATAGATACAGACTGGGACAAATTTGCAAAGCATTTAGGAGACTAAATCTGATCATTTTCTTTCTCGCTTTCTTCCTTAATAGGTGTCCGGTACAGCCAACAAGGTCCTGGTGAAGTCAGTTCCTCCTCGACGATCAATCACCATAGCAGTAATGCCATGGTAACCAGCCAGTCAGTATTACAGCAGGTCTCTCCGGGGGCACTGGACCCCAGTCACAGTCTCCTGTCATCTGACTCCAAGATGGTGAGCACTTCTGAGCCCAGATAAGATATCGCATGCCTGCTCTTGACACAGAAACACAAAGTATGGCCTAATAGATACCTACCTTCACCCAGTAAGTGGGATTACAAATGCTGCATTGTACCTCCCAGTGCTAAACTTAGAGGCAGAAGGCAGGCCTTGGCCCATAGTGCACTGCAGGGCCGATCTTAGCAAATGTTAGCCAGTGGAAGTGAGAAAGGGGCACGGCCGTGGCTGTGCCAACAAACCTGACAAAGAAACATTCTGTTTGTATTGATTAAATGCCCCGCAGAGGAGGAGAAGGGTGGAGTTGTGCTTGTTCTCTGTCGGTTGAGTGACACCGGCGCTCAATGGAGTTCGTTATCTGAATACTAATGTTTGAGTTGGGCGAGATGTTCATGTAGCCTTTTGTTTCAGGACAATTTTCTATGCATTAATTTTTCTAGCAAGGCTGCGGTGTTACGTTATAGGTCAAATTCATCATGGTTTAGGGTGGGTTTCTGTCAATGGCAGGGTAGGAGGAAGGGAGTATGACAGCAGCTTATCTGAGTAGTCAGACGGTTGTCTGAGCATGGCCAACTCTTAACTCGGCTTATTCAAATAAACCTCTGTGTCTCTGTCAGGGCTCCGACACCTTCATAAGATAAGAGTACAGTTGAAACAGTTCTGACAGAAGCATTCATTCTAGTCAGTCCGTTGAACTATTGGTGCATTTTCTTCACAGATCTCTGTATCAGGTGGAGGTCTTCCTCCAGTCAGCACCCTGACCAACATCCATGCATCTCACCATGTGCACCAACAGACCCCCAACCTCATAATGCCCCTCTCTGGAGTCATGGCCATCGCACAAAGTGAGTGACCCACCTTGCTTTCCTTTTCAAATTCTTTATACATTCTCCACTTGACGCCTCATTGTTCTCGCGTCCAGGTTTGAATACGTCGCAGGCACAGACGATACCTGTCATCAACAGCGTTTCAGGCAGTCTGGCAGCTCTGCAGCCGGTGCAGTTCTCGCAACAGCTAAACGTCCAACACCAGCAGCTCATGCAACAGTCAGCTGGCCACATGAGCCAACAGCCCTTCATGGCCTCCGTCTCACACTCACACAGTCAGTCCACGTCCTCTGTCCAGTATCTACTGATCTAGTCAAGTTCTTTCAAATACCTGTTGATGTGATTTTCTGTTTGTGTTATCTTTACAGTGTACTCGCACAAGCAGGAGCCACCCCACTATTCTCACTCGTCTCGGTTTCCCCCCACCATGGTGGTGACAGATGCCAACAGCCTCAGCACACTGAGTTCAATGTCCTCCAGCAAACAGGTCAGTCATCCACAACATTTACCAAGACAGATTTAAGTCTGTTAGACTACGTTCAGACTGCAGGCAAATGTGGCCCATATCCGCTCACAGTTTGCTCACATGTGACTCAGATCTGCTTTTCTCATGACAGTGTAAACAGTACAAACCACATGGAATCTGATCTTTTAAATTCTGATTTGTGCCACTTCCATATGTGGGACTTAATCCGATACAGGGCGGATGTTTAGCAATGCGACCACAGTCATATCGGAATTCATGCAGAGCAACATTTGTCACAATTCTGCACTCATGGGAGTCACTTTTTTACATACCCAACGTTTTCAAGAAAGTTGCGAAAAGGTAGTCAGTAAAGGACAGAACTCATAAGTATTATAGTGAAAACTCTCTCTTCTGCGGCTGATCACGCAATACGTAAACGCAAACGCAAGTCAATTACTTTTATGTCCGCCGTGTTTACTTCCATATGCCAGTGTGTTGCTTTATCGTTCATTTGCACATGCGGGTCAGTTCAGGACCATGATCTGTTCACACTGGAATCTAATATTGGCCACATTTAAAACAACAATGTGAACAGCTATACAAAAAAATCGGATCTGAGCAATAAATCTGAATTGAGCACTAAGGCTCGCTGTGTGAATGTAGCCTTAGATCTGTTCTAACACAGCTGATTGGTTTCTTTGTGGGTGCTCAAGTCTATCTGCATGTCCGGCATACTTCTGCAAGCTTCTTATGGGTAAATAAAGCCATGTGGGATGGAATTGTTTACTGTAATCACTTTTAGCTTCATTAAAGCTACAAAGATGCTTATGACATGATCCACAAACCTTTTTAAGCCAGCTTATAATTCATATTGCAATCGCATGAGTTTTTTCGCTCATCTGCTATATTTATGACAATCAGTTGGGCAAAGTAATGGCGGCAAAGAGGAAAAAAACCCAGAGATACCAAGAAAAATGTTTATCATTGAATTTTTTTCATACCAGATTCCAAAAAAACATTTTACATATCTGTACAATATTACATTACTACATATATTAGCACAGACCCTACCAAACATTCACAGATTTTAAAAAAATATTTAATCCACAATCCGTCTCCATATACTGGCAAGAGTATTTTGATTGTACAGTAAAGTTTCATGTATGTTTGATGTAGCTCAGAATATTGCTTTTAAGCACCGTTTATCAACATTTAATCACTAACATTTCTTAAAGTGATCAGCATAAGATTTCTGGAAAGCACTGATGTTGAGTTTTTCTGTTAGATAAAGGCCAATGGGGTTTTTATCAGGCAGAGAATCTGCACACAAACCCAACCTGCTCCAGTGTCTTTGTTTAGCTGGGTTTGTTGCACATCTCGATCAGTGAAGCGAACCAACGTGGATACTCCTCAGAATTCCTATTTCCTTTTGAACAGCTTGACCAATCAGTCACCCGTGATCCAAGCCTGAGCACGACTTGATTGATGAAACCGCCTTTCGCTTTCTTTGTCACACTTTCTTTCTTTCTTTCTTTCTTTCTTTCTTTCTTTCTTTCTTTCTTTCTTTCTTTCTTTCTTTCTTTCTTTCTTTCTTTCTTTCTTTCTTTCTTTCTTTCTTTCTTTCTTTCTTTCTTTCTTTCTTTCAGTAAAATTATTTTAGTTTTTAGTTTATATGTATATATTAGTTTTGTTTTACAGTTTTTTTTCTATCTATCTTTCTTTCTTTTCTCGCTCTCAATGCAGTCATTCCTGAGTCCAGTTTAACAGTGAGTTCAGGAAATGATCCTCACTGTTAATCAAAGCCCTCGTGCTCCTTCGGCTCCGCTGCCGTGGATGGGAGTGTATGAAGTAATTACGTCTTTTCCCCTGCGCTCTGTGACCGCTCTAGCCTGAAATGCGGTCTGCAGTCGCCGCTTTTACATGCCCAATTTCCCACGCTGCCACATCACTGGCAGCACAAACCCTGGTGGCTTGAACCTCCTGCCAGCATTTGGTTCACTTATCAAGATCTTGTCTCTAATTCTGAATAATATGCAAATGTCCTCAATATTTCACTTGTGTGAGATTATTGGAAATGTCGGTTGAAAGCATTTAGATATCCCAGGTATGCGGTTCCTCAACCCCCCACCCCCAAAGTACTGAGAGAGCAATTTCAAGCTCTTATCAGCCTGGTGTATTTGGACTGGGCGGTGCAGTGGGCACTTTGGGGGACATTACAAACCACGCTCTGTCTTTATAACCCTCCTGTTTGCCGAGCTATCCCACTCAGCCTAACAACAAAACCTCACCTCCATTTGGAGACCTGCATCTAATGAGTGTAGTCTGAGCAGCTGGCCGGCACCTTTATCAGGTGCGTCTGTTTGTCGGCCAGCGGGTCACGACAGGGTCACCTGCCTCTCCCTCTCCAAAGAAAGAGTAAAAACACCCAAACAATACGAAAATGTCGGTTACAATGGAAAAGAGCGCACAGGGATGAGGTATATATTTGGTCAGGTGTGGCTGATAAGGAAATTCCACCTTCGCAGGATTTGTTCACATTTCATACGGAATCATGCTTATGTGACCATTTCCTGTTTCTCTCTTTATCTTGCAGTGTCCGCTGCAGGCCTGGTGAGCGTGTACACCTGACTTCCTCGATGCCTAGCAACAGGAGCACATCGTCCTGACCTCCATTCTCCCGTATCTGTGGCAACCCATAATAAGTGCTCGCAGCACGTTGGATGATGAGTTTGTCAATAAACCAGGGGCTGCAGTGGAGGGCAAGACCCACAAGACCGAACACTGTCGGGTTGTTCAAGAAGTCTGGCGATCAACGGACGACCAGCAACGGTACAAACTTTAGTGACGGTATTTTCCTTCTCAGTGATGGACGAACCGTATTAATGAACATGGGTGATCCTGAAGAACAAACAAATAGGAAAAACATGGTCAGACAAAGCTACAGATACAAATCTGCACCAGAAAGGAACGAAAAGACACCTGCTTTCCAGCCAGTTCCTGGAATAAGGGCACAATATGTTTCTAGGTGTGTGAAACATTGACAATCAGCCAATGAAGCATCTGTAAGGTTTTACGTAACGTATGACTGTGATGCAAAAACGTCTTCCATTAAATCTGAATGCTTAGACAATGTTCTGTACAGTTGGATGTAAATACAAGCAATTATTATATCACCATTATTATGAAGGATATAAATATTTGATAATCCATGTGGTGTGCTTTTATCTGTCTAAACATGTAAACTGTGATTTAGGATGTGACAATCTAAGGAACAGGTATGACGTATTGGAATATGCAATGTGACGGAGTGCGCAGTTTCCAAAGGTTAAAAGTGAGATAAATGTTAAAGCACATTCAACAAAACCTGAACCTATCGATCTACCTTTAAGTCTGGTTTTAAAATAGACACTACTGTCAATGTTGACTATTAGCATTGGTGTCGTCAGATAGATAAGACTCATCTTTCTGTGCCAGCGTTCAGATGGAGGAACTCAGTATAACAGACTCCCATCCAACAAATACTGGATTAATTTTACGGTCGATCAGAGAGACAGATAACTCTATCCGCATAGCCGGTCACCATCTTTGTGATACCGAAGGGAACGGCCATGAATCATGACGACGTGCCTTTCTAATCTAAATATTGACCTACAGTCAAACTGTCATTGTCATGTTGGAGAGATATGTGAAAAAGAGCGTCCTGTTGAATTGGTCTGTTATTGGACAGTGTAATTGTTATCAGTAGGAATTTCATGAAAGTTGGGAAATTGAGCCCGTTCGCCATTTCAAACAGTATTATTTGCTCACACACAACTCTGAACTAACAGGAAGCATTGTGAAATAGTTTTTATTGTGGCTCTTTACCTTGTTTGGTTTTTTTACTGGCATGTAAGTCCATGAATTGAAAACTGACATTGTCATTTTGGTAAACTAGTGCAAACGTCCCTTTTTAGTCCCATCTGAGAGTTTGAATACTTGTCAAAAGGTCACTTCGATGTTCTTTTTTAATGTTGTTGACTATGTTCCCACTGCCAGTTGACCTGAGGTTACAGTACTGGTTTATTCTCCTGTTTATGCTGGATTTATACAAAATGTGATTCTTTCCACATTGTATTATTTTTGTATAAAATGAAATCAATCTTTTAAAATCACTATTTATGCTTTACAAAAAAAAGTTCCAAGTAAAGTTTTTTTGCTCAAGATTGATAACAGTGGTCTGTCTCTGATTTGAAATGTGAAATTAGAAAAAATTCTGTATTTCTTATACATTTCCTCATACTGAATATTATAGTCTAGTATTTGCCAAGCTACAGTATTATGAATTTTACTGTTCTTTGCTTAGTTTTTCTTTTGAACACAATGATTTTTATGACATGGGTGTTAGGAATGTGTTTCCGTTCAGCAAGGGCCCATTACCAACCAACCCCTCCTTCCTGCGACAAGCACTATCTGTCTTGTTAAATCCCGTATACTTTATAGGACAAGCGACTTCTTCTATGGTGTTCTTAAATCTTTTTAGTTTGCACAATATTTTGACAATTTAAGTCTAGGTGCTTCTCATTCATTTCAAATATGTTGTGTGTTGTATGTTGTTCAGCAGCGTGAGAGAGGATGGGGTGCATGTTTGGAAGAAAACCTCCCTGTTGCTCTTTGTTTTCCTCCTACAGGTCTGAAACAACAATTTTTTAAATTCCCCACATGGCTATTACTAAACTTGGAGGATGAGCCGCACATTTTTGATGGAAACGAAACTCGTGCCAATGCCACACAGAGCGAGTGACCATGTTGTTGCTGTAGGGTGGAAGAGTATGCTTGGAAAACATGATGGCTCCATGAAGACAATACACTGTAGGCTGGGCACTAGGTTACGCACGGCACACATGCATTTATTTTACATGGGTCTCTTTTAATAAAACAAGTGTTGTAGTTTTAGTGATAGTCTTCTGTTTTTATTTAATGAACTTCTTGTTCACAATCATGCCTACATTTTGTCTGTGTATGTAGAGATTACTTTATATTTTCTTCTTTATTTACTGTTGTGACACTCCAGTATGAATTTTAAAAAACTGTAATTGAGTGTTTATGGGAATATGTACATTTCAGGCAGGTCTTCATGACCTCTGACCATTTTGTTTTTCATAACCATGTTTTTTTTTTTTGTCATCTTACAAATTACATTTGTATTACCCTTTGGTGAAAAAGATTGGAAATTTCAAATATGTTTTGAATATGACCAACAATTTGGAAATGAAAAAATCTTTTGACTTGTTAAACCTAATTCCATAGCCAGCATTTTGCATTTCCTAAATACACCAAATTAAATAATATTTTCACACGTTTGAAGGGTTATAGCATGACTGTTTTCTTCAAACATCACATCTTTTCACTGACACTGTTGTCTCCTTGATCACCAACTTAAAAAAAAAAAAAAAAACTTTATTAGGGGAAAAATTGTTGGAAATTACATCATAGATGTCTTAGACAGCCCTAAATGTGTTAATGTCTTTAAAAGAAGTCTTTTATTCTCACCCAGACTGCATTTATGTGATAAAAAATACAGAAAAAAATATTATGAAACATTATTACAATTTAATATACCTTTTTTTCTATTGTAATATATTTTAAAATGTAAGTTTTTCCCCGTGAAGCAAAGCTGAATTTTCAGCATCATTATTTCAGTCTTCGGTGTTACATGATCCTTCAGATATCATTCTAATGCTGATTTGCTGCTCAAGAAACATTTTCTATTATTATCAATGTTGAAAACAGTGTAAGACATTTGAACATTTAACAAAAATAAAAATTGCTTTTAGAGACACCTAAAAGCACATTTCGAGTAATTCTCTAGCTTGATGACGTGCTAACAGCAGCTCATACTGTAGTAATGTTATACACCTCAAAACTTTGTTCTGTTTTTTTTGTTTGTTTTTTTGTTGAATGTGCCTTAAAGTCACTCATGGAGTTATGAAAGAGAGCGTCCTGCTGGGTATACACTTGTAACCCAATGATGTCGCCCTGTTTGGTTATCAATGAGGCCTTTGATTTTGCTCCCAGGGAGCCACTAAAGATCTTACTGCTGCTCTCTTTTACTGCGCTGCCCTGAAAAGAGCAGAGGAGCAGAGAGAGAGAGAGAGAGAGAGATGCTTATTAGCATTCTGAGGAGGTGCTGAGTTAACAATGCAGTCAACAACAATAATTATAACCATTGTATTAGTTCAATTTAAGGCCAGCGCTGTAAAAGCTGGCCTGTAATTCTTGTATTTTAACAAGGCGAATGGAAAAAAATACAATAAAGTGCTATTATTGATGTTGAATGTGGTGTATTTTGTGGTAGTGAAACAATTACAGACTTTATATTACCAATATTTAGCTGTTAATTACCTGATGGTTTGTCAATGCAGGTGAGAGTGGGGTAAACTGTGCCAATTTTTTTCACAGGGAAGATGAAATGAGATGTATAGACCTGAATACATTTAAATAAAATTTTCAAATATAAGACACCATTTTAACGTAGGAAGGAAGTTTTTATCATAAAATATCACTCATGTGCATCTTTCAATCACAGGCAGTTGTGTTTCATTTTCAGTTCAAACATATAGCAATAAGCATTTGGTACCCCGGAAGGACTGAGCCTTCGTTTCCGAACAAGACTCAGAGGTCAACACAAGAGCAAGATGGACACACAGAGAACAGAGAGACGGGACAAAGGGACAGAAAATGGAAGTTACAAACTGAATGTAGCTGTGTGTTTAGTGGTCAGAAGAGAATGGGCACTACATCAACTCCAGCTGGGCCCCAAAGGGTTTTAATGGGCAGGAGAACCCAGCAGGGGTCAGAGGTCAGGAGGCCAATCTCTGCCAGGGCTAATTGGTAACATTGTGTCAAACTGAGATCAAAATTAGCCTTTGAAGTTCTGAATCTGAACAGTGTTTAATACGCTTTGAAATACAGTTATATTTTATTACATTTTAACATAATTCGTAAATAATATAAGGTAATAAAACATAGGCCTATGATTTATAAACTGTAAACTATTGATGTAATATATTGATGGGATAGATGGATAATATAATTTCCCAAACTTTTGATTATTTAAATAAATAATTATTATTTTTTGTATTCATTGTTATTCATAATATCCAGTCTTCAACTAGAAATTCACAAAGTTCATAAATTCAGTGAATTCAAACAGTTCATAAATATCCAAAACATACAGTCAGTGAAATACATCATAAACAGCTTCATGGCTTGACAGGTTGACAGTAGCTGGAAGACTTGAAGCAAAGGTGGCAGAGAGGAATAAAAACGTCATTATTAATCACATCATTGTTCTGCATCTATTGAGGGGAAGCACACTGCATTCAAAATACAATGATAGTGAAATCCTTACAGATGAGAAACATAAACAGACATTTTCATGACCCCACACACTCCTCCGTGAAGGAATTCATCATTCCTGCCTGTGTGATCCTTTGCTAGTTTATTGATCAATTCTAAACACAAGGATTTTGGAATGATAATAGATCCATTCGGGCCATTTGTGTCTAAATGGGAGTGAATAAATCCAGCCTTTCAGCTCAGAGACGAATCATACAGTAAAAGGGAGTCCTGTCAGAGAGCAGTGTCCACGCTGATGCTGGAGCGGGATCCCGTGATTTATGGTGATTGGTGGGATGCTCTGAGTCAGTTGTGGGTTAATGTTCACCTGGGTCACAGGGACACTGCTGGAACCTGCCTGTATTCACATCAGGCCCTCTGATGAGGCTGGCCTCAAGCTAAACCCACTACTCTCAGTGGGGAAACAGCGTCCTTCAGAGCTCCTCAATGGATCCTAATGGTAATGTAAGGTGGCTATTCAGCGAGCTGAATGGGCTCGGGTAGAAGAGAAATATCAATCTTGTCCAATGTATTAACACAGCCAAACTCAATAGCCCACCCCCCTTTTCCATGGTACCATTATTCAAAATCAAAATAAATGAATAAAAAAATACTGTAACTACTGTTTTGCCCCTCTATTCAGTTTA